TACTTATTCCAGTACGTGGTGCAGAGTTTTTTGTCCAGCTAACTCTTTCCCTGCCATTGACGAGTTATCTCGTCTTTTACAAGAAAACGCTTCCCCGCCAAATACGAGTGTTTTCACTGTTATACACTCGGGGGCGCTATTACGCATCTTCTGAATGTGGACAAAACCTCCCGAACAAAAACACACATGAACAGGACGGAGAAACGAGCGATCTCTTATATAAACAGATGCATGTGAAAAATAATATGATCATCAGCAAATAGACAGCATATAAATGAAAACTGCATCATGTTACGGAGTAAAATGTTGATCCAGGACGTGATACATGTCTGTGCAAGTTTTGGAGGTGTTGATGGAAGCGATTTACTGGATTTGTGCTTTGATAATCGTACTGAATATTATCCAGATGTAGTTTTTGATAAAAATTTGATTTTCTCACCTTTTTGCTCAAAATTATGCATTTTTATGAAACCTACCTATATTCAAGTGTTGATAAAAAAAAAGAATGCTTTCAGCTAGAATATAACTGATTTTTTTTTTTTTTGTTTAAAATTAGAGGCTCTGATCTTTATTTTGGTGTATTGAATATTCAAATATTCATACAGCAAAATATACTGGAGGCCATCAAATTTTAGTGAAAATCATCAAAATCGCTGGCGGTGCCTGGCAAATTTTTTTCAAAAATGCTGGCGGAGAAAGAGTTAAACACTGCTATTTATAACTGCCTTCCTCTCTGTTACATTCTAGCCAAATTTATTCTGTGTAAATATATCTGTTTAATGCTAGTCCTCAATTGAGATGTTTAATTCATTCAAAAACCATCATTATTATTGAAAAAAGAAAAATACATCTTAAATTACATAATCTAACACTTATATATTTAAAAAGATATGAACTCATTCAGTATAGTTTAGCCTGACTACAGTTGAACTACTTTCACTTCTGTGTAGATTGTAGCTTGGCAAACACTTTAAAGTAGATAACCCAATGCTGGTGGAGAAGAGTAGATGTGTGATTATGATTATGTAAATTCAGGTTTGAGTTAATCCGTTCAAACAGAACATGCCAAACCAATTTCATTGGGATATCAGCGATCAGCTTTCTTTCTCTCTCTGGTTCTCTCATCCCTTGGGCAATGTGGGACTATGGGAAACTAGCAAAGAGTATGTTTTTTCTTCTTTCACAAACCCCTCCTCCTGTTTTTCCTGTTCTATCCATCACAGAATACTCTCTGCCTCATTCACTTTTCCCACAGTGTGTGCATGTCTATATTTCATCCTTTCTTTTTTTGGCAAGAATAAATCAAAGGTCACGTAAGGTCAGGGCAGACGAGACAGAGCTGCTACATGAAACAAGGAGGACAGAAAAAAAAGCAGGAAATTCTTTCTTGAAGAGAATTTGTAAAATTAGTGCAAAGACAAAGTGACAGATGAAAATTTGATTGCTCTGTGTTTGCTAGCTCAAGCGGCATGGTGTTGCTCTCAGTTAAGTATCAAATGTGTGTGTGTGTGTGTGTGTGTGTGTGT